TTTTAAACTCCCTGGAGTTTAGCACAGGTAACCTGCATTGAGGAGGTTCCTATTCCCGTATTCTACCTTTTCTCTACTGAGGTTCTATGGGCATCGTGAGAATTCTCACTATCTGTATGTGAACATATTGACTGGATGGATGAAATTCAATGGGAGATTTGTTCATATTTGGAAGTAAACACCCGGAGAGTTAGGCCCAACTGCTTCGCGCATTTGCGAGGTGCTGCGGATCTATTCAGAAGTCCGCCCAAATCAGGACATGAAGTTGCCTACCTGCGGTCACTGCCAGAGTCAAGTTAAAACGTAAGATGCATTTAGTTCTCCGATGAAAATGTGTGCAAAGGTCTTAAGTAGTTATTTTCACAGCAATCTGAAAAGATGAGAACTTGAGGGGTAGAAATGCTGCCCGGTAGTTAATAATAAACACTTAATTCGTACGAAAAGCCCTAAATGGTTGTTTGCTCTAGAATAGCAGACAAGGCAATGCGAGCCTACACTTCGGAACGCCAAGTATTCGCTGTAGCATAGACTTCCTTAGAGTTCAGTATCTCTTTTGATTTCGCATATTGTTTTACGTGTTTGCTTGAACATAAAGAGGACAAATTACAAACAATCTTGCAATTACGCTGTTCGCTCTAAGTGTTATTTGATCGCGTAACTAGAGGTTGTTAGACACTTGCTGAGACCTATGTATGTGTAAATGTTGTCTGAACGTCTGTTTTTTGCTCAACCGTCAGTCATAAACATGAAGGTAATACAGTAAAATATTGCCTGCTCAGAGGGTAATGTCGTTTAAACCGTTGATTCTAGAATGAACTTGTCCGCGACGTTCTAGCTCAAACCTCTACTCAAATTAGCGCCAATTTTTGACCTTTTCGGACTACTCCATCAAATATTCCTCAGTGATATAGGCCGCAATGCTAAATAAATCATGCATATGGAAAGCCTGCGTGTTTCTCAGGCAACAGGCGTCGTACTACTAACCTTCTGCCAAGTTTCAAGCATGCCAGGGAAAGGCAAAATATGAGCGCACATGAGGTCTTCCAAGTTGTATTAAGTAGTCACTCAACACAACAGAATCACGATGTCGGCATCAGGGTAAGCACTCAACCTACAAACAAGGGTGAGTGCTTTATAACCACTGTCAGACGCTCATGGTAGTATGGTGGACTCATCTCTGACCACCTCCAAGTCCTGTTAAGTGAGACCGAAAAGAGAATGTAGGCTTCGAATTAAGAGTAAACATTGACGGCACCATAAGCAGACAAACAGCTAGAACGGTTATATTTTTGAGGATTTCCACTTAAGGCCCTCCATACATTTTATTCCCCAATAGTGTGGCGGGGAGATTAGTGTAAAGTTAAGATATTTTCGTGGGGAAAAGCTGTCCTGCATCTTATCAGCGTAGCGATGCAACACACGACATTTAGGCAATTATTTAATACCACTGTCCACTACTTTGCAGTTTTCCACGACTCTGGTTGTAAACAAGGATTTTTTCTAGTGCGGAGAATTGTTAACTAGTCTATCTACAGTACAAAGTGCGCGTTAGCCAATGTATCTCGAGGCCAAGTTCAGAGTCCCACAGGATGTAACACAAGGATCGGCAGAATGCAAGACAAGTAAGGACAAAGACGAAGAAGACTGGTGTGATTAATTTGGACGTAGTAGTCATCGGTACCGGAACTAACTCGCAATGAAAAATATTTCAGGTTCAAATTTTGAGATGTTATAATCTGGGATCCGAATATACTGACTGACGACGACCAAGAAGCTTGAAGTGGCCATCACAAAGATCCCCGCTTAAAAATAACGCCTGCGTGGCGCGGAAAAACGCATTGTAATATTGCGCGAATCGCCTTCCAGTGATTATGTCCTCTGGGCGTTGAGCAATAAAATTCACAATTACGGTTGTTGTTTCAATAAACGAAGAATCCAGGCAAGAAAGCCCTGAAACCACAACCGTCAAATTTTCAAGTACGAACCACGCAAATTCTGTGTTTCGGGAAAGAGAGAGTAGTGATTCTGTTTTTATTGACAGCGTACAGACCTATCGTCTGACCAACAACATTTTAGAAGCAAAAAAATTGACGAAGGAGCCTCTCAAAAGCATTAGGAGGAAAATTTTATCGTCCTACCTTTTGCTTAATAATTTTCTCTGAAAGAAACTGACGCGAGAGATGGCTTAAAGGCGTTGATCAAAAGTTGTTTTAATTCAGCTTGAAACAATAGAGCTAAAAATTGACCGCAGGATGCGTATGACTTCATCTGGCACCTTGAAATGCTGTCTTTAATTATTTACGGTATATTGGAGAGATTATGTTTGGAAGTGACCCTACTCACACAATAGGTATATCCTGGGTCAAAAAAACCTGAATTCATTTTTGGATCCCTAGTCATGAAAAGTGGAGTAAAGCACAAATCAAGAGCCGCGAATAGAACCACTGAAAATTCTCGCCTGACGGCTGGCTGTTCGATTTCAAGCTCAGAAACCAGAAATATCTGGGTATGCGAAAAGAAAGACGGAGAAGAAAAAGCTTAATAATGAATTTCTCTGACATATTCGAAAAACGCAGTATATCGAATGCTTTGATGCCTGGATGGGACTCCGGCGGGTCTTTCATAAAAATTATTATTATTATCTTTGGTTGGATACCAGTGTCGCAACACTCCGTTACTGATGCTAGTATTATTGCAGTTAGTTACCCATACTGTAAGCGTTGGTAGAGTAGCATTGGCAGTCGTGGTGGCGGTGGTAGTAGTAATAGTACTAATAGTAGGATTATTAGTAGTATTCGCCGTATCAGTGGTGGCAGACGGGAAAAAAGTTTTCTTCAATGTTGCGACACTGTATTCCCGCCAGTGGTAGTAGTATTAGTAGTAACAGCGGTAGTAGTGGTAGTAGTAGCAGTAGTAGTGGTGGTAGTAGTAGTAGTAGTATTAGTGGTAGCAGTAGTAGTAGTCCGCCCGTAAGACAGGCTGGTGGGGGAATAGACAATTCTAAGTGTTGCGACACTGTATTCCCGCCTTATCTTTTCTCGTAAGGATTTCGATACGAATTTCTTCCCTCTGACATAATTTCCAACGTCGTGGTCTTTTGGGAAGATGGTCCGCATTTACTAAGAAGCTAGGTGCCGATGAATTTGACTGTAAATATTTGAAGTGAAAGGCTTAGTAGTTTGATTGAAATCAATGCTGTTTATCAGAATTACTAACCTGTACTCAGTTGTAAGTTATGCATTTATTCGAATATTTGGCTGTTATGTCACACTTGTATGTTTGAATCGGCATTGAAGCAAAACAGCAGGGAGCATTCAACTCGGCAATGAAGCAATAATAGAAAAACGCAGTAAGACATAAGAATTTACAATAAGAGTACGCAAAAGTAAGCAGGGCTGATGAGACCCACAAAAGCATAACGGGAGCGGCAATGACCACATGTTAATGGCTGAAGATTGGTGATAAGGAAGAATATTCCATCTAGACAGAAGACAGTGCAGGAAGATTATTAGAGGCTTGTTGCATAATTAATCACAGAGGGTAAGAGTCGGTGGTGAAATGCCCAGATTTCGCTACTTGTACGGATGCAAATGAGTAGCGACGGTTTTTGAAGGATCTACGACAATGTCAAGTAGCACTCAAATAATAAGTATATAATGGCCGTCGATCTGTCTTTGGACGGTTTGCTGCAGGATGTGACTAATTAGGGTTTTTCATACGTTCACATTGAACAAAGTTTTGAAAAACGATAGAGGCGCCTTAAGAGTGCTGATTACGAGAGACTAAAGCCAAAATTCTAATCAAAGATATGTAATCTGTTAAGGGCTATATGATACTCAGTATGAGAGATACGTGCATCTGGAGTTCGGGCACCCTTAAGCGCAACTGTTAAAATATTTACACATAGACTAAGTAGATTTTTATAGATGTTTTGAAAGAGAAAACGCATGGGAAGAGTTACATTTGCGTCTGCATGGCAGTTCACAATCGCCATTGTGAGGCGCGACTTTGGACCCCATGACGAATATCGGAGGAAAAAAACGATTTGTGCCTGATCAGACAACTTATGTTACACTGGAACACGGCCACAGTTGTAATTGCCGCCACACTAATAATGAATCTATAAGAGCACAGTTTAAACTTTTGGTAGCAGTTTCTAGGCACTACATACACGGCAAGGGAGACTATAAAAGTGATTCATAACTTATAAAGCGATATTGAACAGCGCCTTCTAAAGGATGGCATACTACTGGCTAAATTTCCCTTCGAACTCTGAATAATACGACTTTGCGGGTATAATCGAAAATCAATGTTCCCACTCCTATCAAGATAGATGGGTGTAAGAAATCAAAATGGGATGGAGTTACCAGTGAAAATTTGTTAAGTCCTACTTAATGTTTAAACAACTTTATTGGATGCGAACGCCTACGTGTTAGGATCGGGGAACTTTGCTAGTTGGGGAAAGTTTTTATAAATTTTGTAAGCGGACGGCTGCCAATTATCAGCCCACAATGTCGCCTGAATTATAAAAATGGTGCAAACAGACTAAAAACCAAATAGAACTATTTTAAAAATTCAAAATCTTTTCTGGAATACCAGGACCTTCCAGTAGACTGTACATTTCTGATGATTAATTAAGTGTGGATTTTGGTTTGTTGGAAACGGTAATTAGACGAACTAACAAAGCGCACTAATTAAAAACAGAACTTCTGATCACGATGCAAACCTCTGTCGGCCAATGAAAAAACGGTACGCTTTCGGTGACAAGTGCATAGATTTTGTGACATGTAGACCTCACTTAACATTGAAGAAAAGCACTTGATTCTTCACAACCGCTGCGTATTGACCAAAATTAGATGATTCGTTCTTCATGCACTGACTGAGCAGCCATCGAAGCATTTGCATTTTATACTGGCGTCTTTTCGACTAAATTGATTGGCTAACAGATTTCAGCAGAAAGTATGTGCCGGAGAGGGTCGTTTGCGCATCCTCAATGAGCAATGAATCGTGTCGAGACGGAGGACGAATGCGCTGACGGAAGCAACATTTTACTTTTATTATTGAAGACTATTCAGTATATTTTGCCATTTGGTAGACGAAGCTGGGTAAGTTCCCCACAGCGTTGTCCGACCCAAACTATTCTCACGGCACTACTAGTTCCTTTATATGCCTGCCCTTTTAATAGCACACTGACAAAATAGTGTTCTTTCACCGATATTTTAACGTCCACTAGTTTCCTGTGGTGTTCGCAAATGCTGTTTCAGGCCTAGAAGCTGTTCTAAACCCACTATGGACAACTGCGCACGGGAGTTGTTAGACATGCCTAAGAAGGAAGAACGACAACCCAACGTTTTGATCTCTGCAAAAGTCGAAAATTTCGTTAGATTTCAATCTCCGGTTTATTTCAGGATGTCACCGTTGATCGACTATCGATAATCAGACCAAAACTCACACAGAAAGTATTGGAAGCTACCGGTCTTCATGTCATTCTGCCGATATGACCTTTCGTTTTTTACCGATATCCTTAAAACTTTCCACTAAAAACTTTATCATCAAACTCTATGTTTATTACAGGTACGATCTTGGCTCCAGACATTTCCTCTAAGAGCTTTAGCTGGGCGTCTTCCGTTTGGGTGTAGTGCTCCACGGCTCCCTGTGTCCGCCAGACTTCTCGAGACACAAGCATTTGTTGTTAATGTGGACCAACCGTTGGAATCTGTTTCTGATGTAAGTCACCATCACCTTTCCGTTCCTCGCAAATGGCTTGTCCGAACCCTTTACGTCCATGCTTTGTGCCTATGTCAGTCCACATAAACCGTCTCACCGCCACGCACTTCCTTAGACAAACAAGTGCGGCCAGATATTTCCGTCCCCAGTGGACTAGATTATTGCCATTTCACTGTCCGCAGACTATGCTTACCGTACTTATTGGTAGTCTGGACTATCTGTCACGAAATCAAATGACAGGTTTTACGGTGAATAGCGGCTTTCATAGTTTAGTTTCGGACTGATCTATTATTACTGTTAGCCCCATAACCATGCGATAGAAACACTTTATTTCATGTCTATAATCCCGAGCCATGTGATCTAGTAGGAAGCCTTAAAAATTTGCGATTCCTACAGCTCCCTTAAGCAATTTTTAATGTGTAAAGCTCTGTGACATTCTGTCTCATTTGGCAAGTCCTCATAATGGAGGACTAACGGAAACGAAAAGGTAATTTCTCAGAGGACACACAACTCTATTTAGTGTGACCCAACGTCCCATGGAATTTTGAAGCTCTTTTTTTGACAGGATGTAAGTATCAATTATTTCCAGATCGGTGACCAAGCGAAGTTACTTCATCACTCGCTGGCGCCATTCACTCCTTTCCCGTTTAACCATGCATAGTGGAAAGTGGTTGATATTGCCGCGTTAAAATGACTGACGCTCGTGGTTTATGGTGTGCGGAGCCCCTAGAACATGAAAATCTTTCGACATTGCAATTACCTCGACATTTATTCTACAACAAGGTGATTACTTCTGCTCTGACCACTGTCACTTAAAGCTCTCAGCTGCAATTCATCCTACGATTTTTTGGGTTTCTGTCAAGTCTTGTTACCCCGACATCGTTTAGCCAACCGTCAGTTTTTTTTATTTTGTTTCGTTTGCTTCTAGACATATTCCACAAGTCTGACGGATACTGACGCCAGCTCTCACCAGGCCGACTCCTTGGTCAGTATCCGGCCAGCCAGTCGAGACAGTTTTGTCAATTTAAATGGATTTCCTCAGTCGACCTTAAATGCGGCCGAGGAGAACGGTAGTAGTCGCCCATGTTCAGTTTTACCCATCCCGGTACACTATGTGGGCCAGCTCCCAACAGTTGAAACTCCAGTCTTCGTTCCCCCACCCATATATACATTCGACTGTCCTGTCGAGGATCCGTCAGCGGCTCTTCCCACTGTTTACCCTTCCTGGATACCACCAAACTCCTGCGATCGACATACTCGGCGCATAATCAGGCGGTGTGATCGGTGGATCACGGAGTCTGTACTCGTGCACATGCAAAAAACACATGAATATCGACCACAACCCTATGGCGATTCATCCTCCGCGGAAATCACAACCGACTGCGCTAGTGACGTATTTTATCCCTACGAATTCTCAGATCAATTATCATTCGGTGATTCGGCATCCCAACAGTTCGTAGCGTCAGCCGTGCCACCGCCATCTAGTGAGTCTTCTCAAATTCTCGCTATTAACGCCCTTCACTGCTCATTTCTGCCTTGCCTGTTTTTTTTTTCGGATATGCAGAGGATGAGTTTAAAACCTTGCGCGACATAGAAATGACTATTTAGTTCGACCACCCCAAGTGACGGGATCCACTGCGTCCCACAGTGGGACGAAGTGGTGACGTTTTGCGCATAAATTTATGTAGAGCGAAGGAGACTTGCGAAATATCTTGCTTACGTTCTACAACCACACCCACAACACTGCGATTGCAAGACGACCAATGGTAGGCGTAAACGCAGTGACGATAAAACTAGACAGCACATTTAAGTGTCCTGCACAACATCCGATCTCTGATTTCTTACACACCTAGCCTAATTCAGGGCAAAGGTACATAAATTTTCAACTGCTTCGCATAATAAGGTCAAGGGCCCGCTGACCATCTAACTTTTCTTAAGAAATTGCGCTGTTTTATCCCTGAAGAGCTTTAGGCGGAGTTCACTGACATTTTCAAATGGCTTTTGAGAGTACTGCATGTTAGTTTAATAAAGGCAAATTTTTCGCACATTCGGGAGTCAAGGTCTCGGGACTTCTCCGCGGCCATGAGGGTTTAGTGCACTGGCCTATCGACCGGAGACAGTTTCTGTAGTTTTCTTCCCCAGTTATGGCCGATCATTGCGGCGAGAATCGTAAAGAAGGACAAACTGAATTACCACATTGCGAGACCTGGTATCGAATACAACCACTATACTGCTTGCGACTGTGTGCAAGTCATTGAGGTTGTCTGAGTCAAAACAACTCTAGGAGGGGGGCATGGGGGAACCTTTACTCACAAAACCACAGAACTGATCTATTCCTACCCACTAAGTCGTCAATCTGGCTCAACAATGAATGACCAGCCGGCACTCAACTAATTAAGCATTCCGAAATTCATAGACAGTTCTGAGTAATTCAGAAACCGCCCCTTCAGAAGAGATTAGACCATGCGAGTAACATAGAATCCTCGAAACACTTTTTCAAGAAACTATTGGGGTATTAAAGGCACTAAACTTCGCGCCTCACTATTGTAGTTACTAGTGCAAATGAGTCGATGAGGACAGATTATGCACCACAAACTTAGAAACACTTTCGATCATCGGGTTGAGTATCCTTCATAAATAACCATGCTATTTGATAGCCTGCCACCTACCTAATATCGGGTACTCTTTGCCAGAATAACGTATCAAATTATGAGTCAAAAGGATTCTTGTTTATATTGTTGGAGGCGCCGTTGGCTAGATCAATGTTGGTTTTTGATTCCCCTGTCAGGCAGGTGGTATGAATAAAACCTTTCTTAAAGTCGCCTGCTGAAAGGTACTCCATCAACAAAAAATAGAATACAGCTAACATACACAACCATAAGTACCACTTTCTGTGCGCAGACAGAACTTTTTTTTCAAAAAAGTCTGTCTTTGGCGATGGCAAAGGCCGTCCGATTAGTAAACGCGTTGTTGACAAAGAACTCCCATTTTTGGATGTTCTCGTGCAGCGGAAGACCGACGGGACATTGCGCACATCAGTGTACCGCAAAGAAACCTATGCGGAAATCATTCTACACTACGAGAGCAACCACCCCATTTCCCACAAACGGAGCACGGTCAACTGTCTGCTTAATCGGGCAAAAACACACTGCTCGGACGAAGAAGGCTACCGAGCCGAACTAAGTTACTTGTGTGAATTATTTTCCCGAAATGGGTACCCCAAGGATTTTGTGCGCCGATGCATGAGACAGAAAGAGTCAAAGGAAAGGGAACAAAGAACCTCCAGTCAGACACCGGAGCCAAATACATGGCGAACCCTCCCTTACATCAAAAACGTTTCTGAACTCGTGGAAAGGCACCTAAAGAGACACCAGATTCGGGTGGCACACAGACCGACGACTACACTACGTACTCAGATAGTACATCCTAAGGATAGGGTCGACTATTTGGATAGAAAGGAAGTCGTCTACAAGATCCCATGTGAGGCCTGTGATGCAGTTTATTGTGGTCAAACAGGAAAATCCGCCTCTACACGCATTCACGAACACCAACTTGCAGTAAAGAGGCGAGACCACCTGTCTCAAGTAGCCATGCATAGCTTGGACACCGGGCATACGTTTGCTTGGGACAGAACACGGATTGTCGGTGCCTGCCCCTTCAAGAAAGGCCGAGAGTTCCTTGAGGCCATGCACTCGGATGAATCGTGCATCAACCGTCACATCGAGTTGGACGCCGCGTACAAAAGTCTCAAGGAGAAATGGAAGAGACGAGAGCCAATCGGAACGGAATGACGCAAATAGCGGCCGCTCACGGGCGCAAATGCGAACGATTATCGATTTTTTCATGTGCACTGCCAGATGTTAACTGTTTTCGGCACATTTACTTTCAGTCTGCGTCTGACGACGACCTGGGGAACCGGCGTCGAAAATTCACGCAATAAAGAACCTTTTCCCAAAGAACGCCTCTGCCTTCAACTTATATTTCTTGGGATGCCTTCCTTCCAATACATACGTATTAAACATTCTATATGTGAAGGTACTGGGCAGACAAATGTGCATACCCGAGATCTTGCTCTAAAGCAGGACTAACTTTCGTGCATTTACCTGACTGACAGACACTTTCTGTTTAAAACGGTAAAATTTCCTCACCCTGCTTATTTTGACCAGTTTTCGCCATGCGTACTTACAGTCAGATTTGATTTTGTAGCGACATCGAAAACCAATCGAAGAAGTTTATGCTATTTGGTTGGTAACTTTTCACCGACTTAAGTTTTATAGGCGGTCGAAAAAATACTCGTTCGAGGGCCGCCATTCTGACGGAACTGAAGTATCGTGGGACTACCTTGCACTTCCCTTAAGTACTCCTTCCTAATAGAAAATCCATTTCAGAGTTTCGGTTAACGGTTCATGATATGAGTCACCGACTGCAATTATAGAACTTGTCTTCTTCTTACAAAGGCTTTACAGGGGGAATCCTATACCTCTCACGCGGTACGTGTTCCGTTCCTAAATTGCATTTGCTAAAGGCAAACTGCAAACCAATCGCCTTCTGACTTACATGGCTAACATTCTTGTGGGGACATACTGTAACATTTCGTTGTAGCCTCCAGAATATTTGTTAATGACTAGAAATTACCTGGGAACTGAGTCAGACAATTTGTCTGTTGAGATTATTACTTCGTCTTAGGGAATAAAATGCCACCTTTAAATCAACATTTTACATGAACTGGATGACTTTCGTATTTGCGAGAGCTCTTTATTTGAACGTCTCACGCTTATCCTTGTGTCCCTTGTCAGTTATGTCCCATGAAGTCCTTGAGTGCGCCCGCACTTTAACCCTTGGAGTTAGAATCTTCTCTTGTCTGAGATGGTCTACTCTCGGATTTGGGTCATAAGATTCTGCACCTTGTAACTGTCACGTCAATCATACGGTGTACATCCTTGCTGACAGAAGCCGGTCCTGGATAGAAGACGAACCCATGTGACTGGGCAGGAACACGAATACATGATACGAGGCATCCCACGCCTCGTCTAGTTGGGTTGGAATGAATCAGCCTTCATGATGAGCTCCATCCTATCGTTGTTTACGGAGTTAATATTAGCCACCCCCAACCCCTCCACATAGTATTCAACTGAGATACCACGCAGTAGTGAGTGCTCGGATGACTAGTCGTGATAACGTTGACCTAGTATCCGAATGCCAACTAACGACAATGAGAATAGTGAAGTTATTTTGCAAAATAAATGACCTCTTCTATGTGGATTCAGGGCCTACAACCGCGGACAGTGAACGTATAAGACAACTCGAAGTAGAACTGGAAAAGCTTCGCAGCCAGCTGGCGCAGCTGGTGCTCGCCCAGGAGCGTGCTAACCTGGGCGACAAGAACACGCAGGATAATACCAACAACAGTGCCGCAACGACTGAGCCTGCTAGCTTCCGTCTAATCACAGTGAAGTCAGTCGGAGCAGATAGCGAGGTCCACCGTCTGGACGGTGACGGCGAAAGTGACCCCGGTAGTTCATGTCCGACGCAACTTACTATATCAGTTGAGCAACCAGCTGTCATGGAAGCGAACTCTACGGCCCTGGCCGTGCCTCCGCGACCACCGCCCACGCCGGTCGGTGTTCCTCCTCCGCCTCCCCCACCACCACCGCCGCCGCCACCACCACCCTCTAACGCTGGTGCCGATTGGTTGGAGAAGTTAATTGCAAAGAAGAGGGTACTTATAGACGTATTTTTGCAACCTTTATAACTGATGCTCCCTACCCTCCTGTATATCAAAATCTCCGCTTTCCTAACCAGGCAGCTTTTGAGATGGCAACCGAGGGTTCTAAACTACTTTCCTCGAGTTCTTTAACCTGATCGTTTTCCAGCTGTTCATTTAAACTCACTTAATTCAACAAAGGCTGGTATAGTCCACCCTTATTATTACAAGACGGGAAGACGGGTTGCCCGTCAGCCTAGCTGCTGGCTACCCAGCGCGTCCACAGGTGGCGGATAGTGGGACGACCTTCAGTGAAGGTTAGCTGCAAAATAAGCAGACCCAGGTCTGACGAATAAGCAGTCGCGGACCAGCAGCGACATTGCTACCAGGGTGCGGTGGGCTGAGGTCTGGCACGCTGAAAGCCTTATAAAAGGCCGCAAAACCCAATGACGGCATTGCGACATGGAGACCGTAAACCGCCATTAAATAAGTTTATTTGCCACCGCTGCCTTGTGGTTAGGTTTTTAAGCCAAAGCGCTAAAGGAGACAACTTCGAACAAACAATCCGAGCGGCTGTTGGGGACCCGCCCGTATTCGAAATTCCCAAGAAACCTCATGAAACATGTCCGATCACAGTACTACGACCCATGCTATGGCGTCCGCGGGAACTGACGCGCTCCGCAACCCTGCTCCAGTGGTGCGGACGAATAGTATGCGAGCTGGACTACTCAATCGTTGACGGACTCTCGGTATTGGATGCTGGAATGTGCGAACGTTCCTGGACCTTAGTACCCAAAGTCTGACCGCACGCAGCCTTTATCAGTTCGTGGATGTCTGCTGTCTGTCTGAGGTTCGACTCCCTGACTCAGGCTCCCGTGAAATAAAGATCCCGGGAATTGAATCACACTTCACCCTGTACCACAGCGGCCCGCGCGATTCTTCTGGTCGACATGGCGTGGCGATCGTCCTATCACAACAAGCGGACCTCGCGCTACTTGCTTGGGAACCAGTCAATGACCGGATGGCCTACGTGCGACTGAAGGGTCACTTCAAGAACATCTCCATCGTCGCTGTGTACGCACCAATTTCGGCTGCCGAACAGCTCGCAGCTGCAAGCGTTACTTGAAAGGCTCCCTCGTCGCAATGTGCTGATTGTTGCTGGGCATTGGAATGGTCGGACTACACCTGGCGACCCCACAACCAGTCATCTTCTTGGCCGCTTTGGGCTTGGTTCCCGATGTAAAAATGGTGAGAGATTGCTGAACTTCGCTGGTCGAAACCGACTGCTTGTCACTAACACATGTTTCCAGCATCGCAAAAAAACATCTACTGACCTGGTATTCCAACGACGGTCGTACGGCCAGTCAGTTTGACTACATACTAGTCAGCTCAAGGTTCTGCAGCTGGGTTCACGATAGCAGATCGATGCGTAGTGCCGAGACGGGTAACACCCATGGATCGGACCATGTCCTCGTCCGTACACGCTTGAAGGTTCATTTCTCATCCGCGCCAAAATGCCACGTCCTAGGCGCCTCGATGTCGCACTGACGAGGCCCTAAGCAGAGAAATCCGGACCTGTTTCACGACCCGAGCCGACTGAGAAGTCAGTAACCAGTGGTCGTCACTGAAGACTTCAGTCTATGGGGCAGCTGAGAAAGTCCTTGGATACACCCAGCGACGCCGCAGTGACTGGATCAGCGGAAGAACCCTGCAGTTGTCTGCTCAGACGGCTAGAGCCAGGTCCCTCGACGATGACTACTTCCGCCAACTTCGGAAGATGACGGCAAAATCGGCCAGGGATGACCGGAAGCAATATTGGGCTGAAATACCGACCTCCATGGAACAGACCTCGAACGTTGGTGACACTCGAAAGCTCTACCGTCTGGTCCACCAAGTTAGCGGTAAGCCCTCTACATTGAGTGGCTCTGTTCGCGATGTGAACGGCGGCTTTATTGCTGACAACTCGGCCAAAGTCGAGCGCTGGCGTGAGCACTTTGAGCACCGTCTCAACTTCGATAACCAACCTACTTCGCCCTTGCTCTCCTCTTCAGCGGAGTTTCTTCCCTCGTATCTTTGCAGTGCCATGCGATCCCCCCTCCGAGGAAGAAGTCGCCGATGCCATACGAAAGTTGCGCAACAATAAGGCACCCGGAGAAGACGGTATACCTGATGAAATCTTTAAGTCTTGTGTCGACACTCTGGCGCCCTGGCTCCATAAGGTGATTGAACGAGCGTGGAGAGACGAGGTTGTTCCTGATGACTGGGGCTTAGACATCCTTGTACCTATCCTCAAGAAGGGAGACAAGACGAGATTCGAGAACTACCGTGGCATAAGTCTCATCGGCGTTGCTGCGGAGATCTTCGCTATTGTCCTTCTCAGGCGATTCCAGGCTGTGCGTGGCTCAAGGCCGAGGCCCAACCAAGCCGGATTTCGTGCTGGACGTGGATACGCAGACCAGATATTCACACTGAGGCGCATTCTCAAATTTCGCCATAGCTACCAACGACCGACGGCCGTTTGCTTCATTGACTTTGCCGCCGCGTTCGATTTCGTTCGCCGTGAGTCCTTGTGGCGGATAATGGCGCTAGATGGTGTACCGGCAAAAATCATCGCCTGATCAAGGCCTACTATCGCTCCACTACTGCGAGAGTCCTGGTCCGCAACAATCTTTCCCAACCGTTCGGTATTCTGTCTGACGTCCGACAGGGTTGTATCCTGTCACCCATACTGTTCAACTACGCTATTGACTGGATCCTCGGGAGGGCCCTACGCGAAAGTGACGGCGTTGAATTTGCACCCGGACATCGACTGACTGATCTCGACTATGCCGATGATATCGCCTTACTTGCTTCAAGTTTTGGTGATCTGCAGTCTATGGTGTCACGGGTAAACGAGGTCGCTAAATCGGTCGGCTTGTCTATAAAGGTTGGGAAGACCAAAGTGTTCTCAAGTTGCATCCCTGACCAGGAGAAGGCACCCCTCGGGATTGATGGCTGTCAACTTGAGGAAGTAGACAATTTTAAATACCTTGGGGCGAGGCTGCTGCCTAATGGACAGAGTAAGGACGACATTGTCTCTTGAATCGATGCTGTCCGCTGGGTTTTTTTCAAGCCTTCGGAAATGCCTGTGGAACCGGCGTGACCTTTCCATCGCCACTAAGATTCGCGTGTATCGTGCATCTGTCTGTTCTGTCCTTCTCTACGGTTGTGGATGCTGGGTTTTGCGCGTGGAAGACGAGCGAAAACTGGAGGTATTTGACCACCACTGCTTGAGGACCATCCTTCGAGTGAAGTTCACCGACTTTGTCTTAAATAAGACAGTCCGCGCTCGCTGCGACAACATCGCAAGGATAACTCAGGCCATCCAAGAAAGACGACTGAGGTGGTTTGGGCATGTTCTTCGTCGTCCACCTCAGGAGCTCAGTGTTACTGCCTTCGATCCGCCACCGTTGCCCCATTGGAGGCGTCGAAGAGGGGAGCAGTTCAAAACCTGGCTCGACACAGTTCGTCAGGATTTGGAGGCGGTTCTTGGACCTTCGGTATTCGGTCTCCGTCGTTGGCGAAGGGAATGGGTTGAGCTGTGCAGGTCTGCTGCCGCGGATCGTCACGCGTGGAGAGGTACAGTTCGGGACATCATCGAGGCCGGCTAGATCAGGCCTGATCGCAGCCGTATCAAGTACAAGAAAGTAAGTAGTCCACTCTTCCGCATGGTTGAAGAAGAACGACTGCTATGAAGCAATGTTGCTGTAACTGTCTTGCCCATTCGGTCGCTGGCCAGCGCATTTTTAAATTCTCATTTAGATCCGGTAGTTTCAGCATAACCTCTTGAGTGCCCGGACACAACCAATGTCCTTTATTTATCCGTACCTTATTATCCCTGTTCCATTTGGCTCACACCCATTACGCCTTTCCATATTTCCATTCATAATCAACTACATTACTTGACACTGTGCATAGTTTTCGGTACGTCAAAAGCGAAGCGAGTGACGAACATTTATCTGACCAGAACCGGCTAGTTGTCACCAACACGTGCTTCGGGTATCGCCGCAAATACCTGCTGACCCGCAATTTAACCGGTGGTCGTACGGTTAGTCAGATTGACCATTCTAGTCGCCAAAAATGTCTCGCACAAAACGCCTTTAGGTTTCGAAGGTATCACTCACCGGGGCGCAGTCAATCTACGGAATCTTGATTTCATACGCATTTGTCCCTTATATTGCGTCTCCAGCGAACGGCTTTTTGATGATATTTCGACCGTCGCAAGCTTCGATGTCTAGTAACCTGACCAACGAACGCCCATATGACAATAGTGATAAGACTCAGTGGGTTAGTGGTTAGAGGCATTGGACTTCTAACTAACAGGTCGCGAGTTTGAGCCCCAGGTGTTCCACACCTCGGGGTTGGGCATGACTGGCTGACGACGGCTAGTAAGCCGGAAATGGCCATTCCAGTCTCTCTTGTCTCTGTCGGTAATGCCATTCTGCCTATATCATGCACCGCGGTGCGGCTGCTGGTTGGGCTCGAGAGAGAGAGAGCCCGTAAGGCACAAGGGGGCGAGGGAGTTCCGTAAAACGATCGGTGAGCTCCTCACTACCAATGATGAGACTGTTTTTCCACCCTGCGATGATCTTCCGAGCCATGGCTTTTAAGGCACAATGACGGCTTTGATAACAGACAAGTCGAATTGTAGAGAGGGAGGATTGCGCGGCGCCATCCACGTTCACTTCCAGATTTTTCCCGACGCCCGTGACGCCCAGGCGCTCTTCATCCCAACAAAGCGTACATATTAGGGGACATCAAGCAAGTGTTTTTTAGCGACACCCTTCCTTTGTTCGTCGCCGCTTACATTCCGCCCTTTTGTAGCTGCTTTGTACCGGGGCTGAGTCTTGACTGAAGGCATTTAAACAGCAGTCTGGTCGGTTGTGCCCCGCCTCCACTACGTGTCTTCCGGGCCACGTTCTAATGAATCCGAGATGGTCGTTTTTCCCTCACACTTTTTTTTCAGTTTTCACGATCTTTCACATCGCGAATGACAATTTCGTAGACCCAGTGTCCCGGATTGCTTCGTTTTGTTTTCGTCAGTTCTCGAGCCTATTCTACCGTTCACCTGTTTTGTTTTGCCTGCCCGTCCAGGGTGCCAGCTCAGTCCCAGCAAAACCACGGAGTCAGCCAACAGATATGTCCCAAGTTCTGAAGGAACTCACCTCGGGAGCGATCAAACTCCGATCAGTTGTCCGCTCACCTGGAGGAACACCCCAGCGAAACCCACCCGCCAATGCAGAGGATCCTGCGTGAGTCACCGTTGGACCCCATCTCTTCACTGTCCCGCCTTGAACTCTATACTGGGCCTTGTGCCTAAAAGCAATAATATTCCTCCTAGTTGCAACACTCCTGCCACCCAGTTATAAGTCAGCCGGAAACCATTATGCACTTTGAGTTCTAAAAGACTTGGGATGGGGGAACAAATAGGCCCGAAAAAAAGCCGGGGGAAGCTTGAGTAGATAGGTGGGCTCGTCACAATTTGAGACTAGTAAATACTTCAGTCTCCAGATTCCTTCGTTTCATTTTTCTCAGTTTTCGAGCCTGTGCTGCCGCCCACTTGTTTTGTTTTGCTTGGGGGAGCTTGCGTATTTGTAATGCAAACCACCACCATGCGGCCCTATCGTGCAGTCGTGTCAGTGGTGCAGGTGGTACCTTCTGATCGTAGTGCCGCCATTTGACTCAATGACTCACATGACCTAGTCCTTCACTTTTTGCATGCCACGGTCACATTTCAAAAAAGACTTCTTTCTATACTGATTGTAACTTGACAAGACCTTCCATAGCCCTCCGTCAGACGTAAGAGGAACGGAGCTTGGCCGGCTTGCATTATGAAAACGACTGATCGTGTTCGTTGATTCTTGTCCGAGTTTTTGCCAAAATAGTCAGTCAACGAAAAAATTTCCCATCACCGACAAGATAATGTTGAATCTGTTCTTTTGCGAAGGTCTAAAGGTAGTGTCACAAGCACTGAGCATGCCTAGCTCTACGTAGTGGGCACTCATTCCGGAAATAGGCATCAATGCTTCTGCCGACACAAAATTACGGTCTTTTACTTCGCTGAGGGCTTTTCGTAGATTGTATCTGCTGTTTACCGCTTAAGTGAAGAAGAAGAGTCGAGCACCGGAACACTTCGTTTATTATCCTGAGTTTTCAGACTCGTACAGGAGTCCATCGTCAGAGGTAGTGACAGAAACAGGGCAAGCGGCAGTTTTAAGGCATGTAGGCCCAATCATCGTCCGACGTCGCACGACTGGAGTTGACTACGCAGGGCTCTGTACGCCGGCGCCAGATCGATAAATCGATTGACCGAGTTCTCATCCGAGGCCCAGGCTTCAATCAATTCTCGGCCTGTTTTGTTTCCGGCGTGGGCGACTATTTTGGTGGCTGCGAAGTTAAACTCGTGACCCCTTTCGTAGGTGTGGGCGGCCACTTGTGATAATGCGTCGCCTCGCCGCACAGCCAGCTTATGTTCGTGTATGCGCGATCCGAGCATGCGTGCAGTCTGTCCTGTGTAATTACAAGGACAATTTTGACACGTAATGCGATACACTACTTCAGATTGCTTTTCAGGTTTTAACCGGTCTTTGATTTTCATGACCCTGCTGCGCATGGTGGCTCTGTACGAGTCTGAAAGCTCAGGATAATAAACGAAGTGTTCCGGTGCTCGACTCTTCTTCTTCACTTATGCATACACCTGGAACTCGAAATTTCGCCTTCACTGTTTACTGCTCTTTGAGTGGGAATGAAAAGGGGTAGGGCCCAAGACGCATCTACTGTAACTTGTACGAGTTCGAAGAGCTGAAGAGCAGTCGCGAAATTTTTTGGTACCAATAAATCCTGCCGTTCTTACCTACTTCAGCTTTGTACGAGTTCGTCGTAATCTGCACTCCCCAGCTTTGTCCATCCAGAAAAGTCCACTGAATTGTAGTTTATTTGTCACGTGTGCTTTACAATCTGCATAACCCCGTCTCCCTACCCGCCCCCTCCGACCATTGCCCTTTACTTCCCGCAGGCAAATGGATCCAGTGACTTTGATCGCCAAGGCTCTCAGAGCCAAGTTCGCCAATGCGCGTTACGAGTTAGATCGGCAGGATGACAGCCCGAATCGTGGCGAGGGAACTTCTTTTTCCGCCTCCGACGCTGGCAGTTTTGGGGCTCGTTCTCCGGTGCCAATCGTCAGCCGCAGCAACCTCAAGCCCATGCAGGCGCTGGCCGCCAGTGTAGAGAAGGAGAACAGGCAAAGTGACGAGAAACCGGTTAGTAATCGCCTGATGCCCCCCCCCTCCCACTTTGCCTTTGCTCATTTAAATTCTCCCCTACCTCCCTCACACCTTCTATTCAGGGTTGCTCCGCAGTGGCTTACTTTAGGAGGAACTGGTCATTTGACTGTAGGGTACGTGCGAGAAAAATCCGATGTGGTAATGGAAAACAGGACTAGCCAAGAACCGGCTTCCCCAGGAGCAGTTCTGAAGTTCTTGCGACGTGTGAACCATTAATTGTTGGAGGGGGGAGTCTAAGAGTGGAGTTTGGACAACGTTGACTGACGAATTCACTCTACTCCTTCCCACGGTCTTTCAGTGGCAAATAAATCCAAGTAGTCGTCAAGAAGGCTTCTTATCAGCACACCGAAGTGGGCTAGTATTTGGTAGGATATCTTTTGACCTGCATAACATATGGCGGACGTAACAAGTGACGATGCAGGCAAATGCGGAAAGGAATGCTGAAGAACAGATTTAAAAACCACAGGAAGCAGGACGAGATACTTTTAGGCGGGGAATTACGAATTACGGAACCTGGTTACCTTCTATTGTTTGATTTTTATTATTATTCGAGACAGAGGAAGTGAGAGTCATGTTGATGAAATTGGAACGTTATTGAGTTTGTCACGCCTAAGGAAACACGAAATATTTTGTTCGCAAAAACAGCGATTTCCACAATAAAGTTGCGCTTCTTTACGTCCATTGTTGCTATTTGCCCCAAATAATGACCGGGGACCGTAGGAGAGGGTGTAGTGCATTATCTATTAACCCCAACCTTGACGCACCCAATACCACATTAGCTCAAATCATCCATCTTTAAACACGGCAAGGAAGCTGAAACCGTGGTGGCGATAGAAGAAATAAGGAGGAGGTCCATTTTCGCATGCTTTTATCTTGGGTATAATATGAACATCTCCAGATACACAGGATGTATTTAACTGGGTTACATAGTGGAGTACGTATTTGTAAATTGACGATATTATGGCCAGAGTACAGTATTAAGCCTCTATTCTGTCAATCTTCAGGCGGTCAAGGTCGAATTCTCAACACACCAAAGAACACGGGCATTAGGGAACAGGCACTTCATTTTGGTGTTTTGTTTTTCTTATGCTATGGAGACTTTCCAAGAGCACTAGAGTTGAAGCCAATCGTACTACCTTCTAAGAAAGAATAGTTTGAGTATTTGCCCGAGTTTCTAGCTCATAGAGCCAATTTTGGGGCATCACACAGGAAGCGTTTTAATGTCATAAGTAGACACGGGAAGAGGGCACGGATACGTCCGTTGCAGGCCAGGTCGAAACAGTTTACTCAACTCTGACCACCCACACCTGCGATCGAAGGCTGTGCACCAGCAGAGGTCTCCTCGGACGCCCTACAGTGGCCGAGCCCCCTCGCGAATATTTTCTGGACGACCCGTGATTTAAAAGTAAGGTCAACTGGTATTTGAGTGGTTAAATCGAGAGTCCTGCCATTTGAGCCAGGCGCCCTCGTCTTGTCTGTTGAGCTACAGCCAACGAACGACAGGAAATGAACCGGAAGGCTTCGTTTCCTCCCTCCTTGGTCTTGTCAATAAACTCTCTCACATTAGGTCTGCTGATCTTGCTCACCATGTTTTGTTCCTATTTCTTTTTCCTCCGCAGCTCTTTGGCCGCCATCTCCTACGGCCGGTGGACCGTGACCATTTGCCATCCCCATTACGTATTGAATTAGATTCCTCAATGGACCTTTAATTCTGTGCTTACGTGTATTCGACCCTTGCATTTATTGTCGACTTCATGGTTTAGTCAATCTGATCGGCACTATGAGTGTGCCGGAGGACACCCTGATTACTTTTATTTTTGTTGATCCTCGCTGAGACAGCGTGTCTACTGGGCTAGTCATGCAAACATCGCACTCATTCACTCTTTTCATTGGAAAAGGTAATTAATATTGGGTTTGTATGTGGTGTGAGTTGCCCTCACGGCTTGCTCCTGTTTGTCCATTACTTGATTGCTATGATTCCAGTTTTATTTCGTGACCCGAATGAAAACCTTTTTTCCCATCGTGTTGTGTGCTGTAGGGTCTTGGGGAAAGGGGTGAGGCATGGTTTTTACCGAATACGAAGGGGTTTGGGCCATTTGGTTGCACTTGACGCGTATTGGGTTTGTGGGACAACAAACCAGTCCAGGCTGTCACTCAGTAAGCACGCTATTGGCTACTTCGGTCTTGAAAGCTGTCGAGTTTCGATGGTAGGAGTAAATGAGGGCTCTAAGCTCTGCAACAAGCCTCCGCTGGCTTGACGTTCTGACGATGAGTCTGCAGTTGACCGTGTCATTCCCCTGCTGTTTGCATGACGTGTCGACGCTTAGCGTGGGTAACTGCAGCGTCTTAGGATCAAATCGTAGCGCACGTGTGAACGAAAGGCATCATACCCTCGATGCTCGCTCAATAAATTTGTGCCAGCGGATACGAAGCACTGAGCTCCCGTCATGCCGTGTGGCTCTACTCAAATAGGCAACGAACAATGGTTGTTTCTACGTCCGCGGGACAACGGAAAGAATCCCCGATCTCACCAACGTCTGTTCTATTGAAGTTATCTGCCGTATAGCACCACACTTGTCTGTTCAGACCGTTCGGGATAGACTCCACAGCAATAAATCTTCTAGCTCAGCTAGCGAGGACTACCAGAGTTGCAATAAGAAGGTGAATCGATCGCTGGGACCAAGAGCTTTATTCGCCTGACGTTTCGCATTCTCGCTCGAACCCATCATCAGAGACAGTGACAGGAACGGGTCTACAGTGTTCAAGCAGTGACTTACATGGAGCAGTCTCCAGAACTGCCCACGTTTAGTCAGGTCACCGCCAGATACCCTTGCACGGGCTAGCCTCATTGATCCTTCCGGGGGGCGTATAGGTAGGAGGTATGTCCTGTAGAGAAGAGGGGTCGTGTGGTGGTTCCCCACCCCGACTCATGATTGACATCCAATTCTCACTTGTGGCTCTGCGAAGCTATGTTCTGCTCAGCAGACAATCTGCTAGTCACTTTGGCGAGTTCAACCAAACGAGGGTTGTCCCCGCAGTTCCACTTTATGGTGAATCTGCGAAGTCTGGTTTAGTCAACAGACGTGGAACAGTCCTGTGGCACGTGTAGGCAGGCGTGGTGCGTATTCGGTCATCCCCTTGTGGCCATCTGAGCGAGGATGGACAGACAGTTTCATTCCAAGGACAGCCTTGGCGACGTTGAAGGATTTTACGGGCCTCTCAGTCATCACTAGTCTTCCCAGAGTGGGCCAACAGGCTGTTTAGTGGTGGCGCCGTGGGGGAGAAAATGGTGTCGGCGATTTGCAGTGGTTATGCTGTGTGTGAGTCTCTGTGCGCCACCATCATCAGGGCTAATCCTAGTGTTGTAAGGAGAAGACAGAAAGAACCAGAATGTGGGGTTTAATGTATACAAAACCCAGAGTTCTCCTCTCAAGCGGCCGTGGCCGCTGGCGAAGCCATGGCTGGCGTTGACTGCGTTCAGTCATGCCTGAAAGTCCCTGAGATAGTGGTGGCGGCCACTTTTATAGTCTCGTAGGCCAAGCTCAAGTGATGTCCAGTCAGTGTGTGTTGCATTTGCCGAGGGGTGTCCCAGTGGCTTGTTTTGCGGGTTGCAGGGGGTCGGTGCGTTCAAGTGGCCGCATGGACAGCTGCGGCTGTGCGGACGCAGGTATGCCGGAGCTGTCGGTCGCATGACTTCAGGTCAGTGCGTCTGGAACTTCAAACTGCACAGGGATGAATGACCTTGAGACAGCGAGGTCTTGACCAATGACTCCAGACCGGTCGTGATGGTTGCCCGCTACAAATTCACCATGCCCAAAAGGCGGTTTAGTTGATTGGTGGTAGCCGGGAGCGGAGGATTTATTACGGTGAAAACTTTTCCGGGTACGTGGTTTATTCATCCACAGTCCGCAATGCGACCCAAGAAGCCTAAGCTGGGGACTCCAAACCCACATTTGGCAGCATTGATGATAAGGCCGTTAGAGTCGAGTTGTTCGAACAGTTGTCAGGGATGAATTAAATGTTCGGAAGGGACGGAAGTTGCCACCAGTAAATGATAAATGTGGGCGTTGAGGAGGTTGAGACCGCGGCACTTAATCAATGAACCACTGGCATTCCTCATGCCAAAAGATATTCGAATGAATTTGAACAAGGCAGAGTAGTAACTGCGGTTTTCGGCACATCACTGACCTCGATTGGGATTTGTTGGTAAGCGCGAACAAGATCAATCTTAGAGGACACGCGCTTACCATGCAGCGAGAGGACGAAGTCTTGGATGTGTGGGACAAGATATTGGTAGTCGCCGCACGGTCGCCAGTCCTTGGGACAAGATGGAGGCATGATGCCCAACAGCTACCGGACTGTTGGACGGTGCCGAGATCAAGCATGTGTTCGAACTCTGTCGTAGCAATCTAAACGGTCCGAAGCAAGACGACGCAGTCGGCAAGTTTCAGGAGGTCAAATGGTGGGGATGTTGTGGGTGATTGTGTATTTAA